CGGCTTAGCAGGTTCTTTCTTTCAAGCTTAATAGTTCTTTCTTTTGTAAAGCTCGTCTGAAGCTTTACTTGTATTGTTTTCCCGCAAAATATGATCCACAAATCGCTTTCCAATCAGGTCATCATCAGTTATCGCTGGGTGCACAGGGGCGGCAGAGGAACTCTTGCCCAAAAGCAATCGGTTCGTCCTCGTGTCACTTTGTACCAGAGGCGAGTTGGTGGAGGTGCCATGAACAACAGTTGTTCAAGTGGGGGCCCCATACCCGAGTGAGGGGCCCCCATACCATTGTGAGGGGTCCCCATAGCATTGTGAGAGCCCCCATACCCTTGTGAGGGGTCCCCATACCCTTGTGAGAGCCCCCATACCCTTGTGAGGGGCCCCCATACTCTTGTGACCGCCCCCATACCCTTGCAAGGGCCCCCATACCCTTGTGAGGGGCCCCATACCCTTGTGAGAGCCCCCATACCCTTGTGTGAGGGCCCCCATACCCTTGCAAGGGCCCCCATACCCTTGCAAGGGCCCCCATACCCTTGTGAGGGACCGGTGGGGGGAAGCACCACACCATTATGGGTCCAGGAAATAGACCTCCGATGGTCTTTTTAAGCCGAGGAATTTATGTGTGTTGAAGAATGTTGGGTGTAATCTCCCCCCCCGGGCTCTGTAGTGTGTAAATGGTGATGTGGGGAGTGTAAATAGTGATGTGGGGCGTGTGAATAGTGATGTAGGGCGTGTAAATAATGGTGTAGGGCGTGTAAATAGTAATGTGGGGCCTGTAAATAGTGACGTGGGGCGTGTAAATAGTGATGTGGGGCGTGTAAATAGTGATGATGTAAATAGTGATGCGGGGCATGTAAATAGTGATGTAGGGCGTGTAAATAGTGATGAAGGGCGTGTAAATAGTGATGTAGGGAGTGTAAATAGTGATGTGGAGGTGTAAATAGTGATGTGGGGCGTGTAAATAGTGATGTGGGGCGTGTAAATAGTGATGTAGAACGTGTAAATAGTGATGTAGAACGTGTAAATAGCAATGTAGGGCGTGTAAATAGTGATGTGGGGCGTGTAAATAGTGATGTAGGGCGTGTAAATAATGATGTAGTTACACTCTAACTCCCAAGGTTACAGTCAGTTCCTCTGAAGGTCTGGTGCTGTTCAGCTCAGTCACTGTACTAGGCATTGAGCATAGTACCTGGCACTAAGCACTGTACCAGGCACTGAGTACAGTACCTGACACTAAGCACAGTACCAGGCACTGGACACTGTACCAGGCACTGAGCACTGTACCAGGCACTGAGCACCGTACCTGGCACTAAGCACTGTACCAGGCACTGAGTACAGTACCAGGCACTGAACACTGTACCAGGCACTGAGTGCAGTACCAGGCACTGAACACATTACCAGGCACTGAGTGCAGTACCTGGCACTAATCACTGTACCAGGCACTGAACACTGTACCAGGCACTGAGCACAGTATCAGGCACTGAACACAGAACCAGGCACTGTGCACTGTACCAGGCACTGAGCACATAGTACCAGGCACTGAACACTGTGCCAGGCACTGAACACAGTACCAGGCACTGAACACAGTACTAGGCATGAGCACTGTACCAGGCACTGAACACTGTACCAGGTTCTGAGCACTGTACCAGGCACTGAACACTGTACCAGGCACTGAACACAGTACCAGGCACTGAACACAGTACCAGGTACTGAACACTGTTCCAGGCACTGAACACTGTACCAGACACTGAACACAGAACCACGCACTGAACACAGTACCAGGCACTGAACACAGTACCAGGCACTGAACACTGTACCAGGCACTGAACACAGTACCAGGCACTGAACACTGTACCAGGCACTGAACACAGTACCAGGCACTGAACACAGAACCACGCACTGAACACAGTACCAGGCACTGAACACTGTACCAGGCACTGAGCACAGAACCAGACACTGAACACAGTACCAGGCACTGAGCACTGTACCAGGCACTGAACACAGTACCAGGCACTGAGCACTGTACCAGGCACAGAACACAGTACCAGGCACTGAGCACTGTACCAGGCACTGAACACAGTACCAGGCACTGAACACTGTACCAGGCACTGAACACAGAACCAGGCACTAAACACAGTACCAGGCACTGAGCACTGTACCAGGCACTGAACACAGAACCAGGCACTGAACACAGAACCAGGCACTGAACACAGTACCAGACACTGAACACAGTACCAGGTACTGAGCAGTCAGCTTGAGAAAGACCCCAGGGACTGTTTAAAAAAAACTATAAAATAGGTCCCCGATGGTTCCCTATTTCATAGTTTTCTTGCAACTTATAATAATCAAGAAATTGGGCGGTGGGGTTAAAGTTAATTTATATTATCTTGAGAGGTATAACCTAGGTTATACCTCTAGGTTATACTAGGTTATACGTGTATAATCTAGGTTATACGCGTGCAGCTCCACCACTCTATGGAGGAGTGCACTAGTTTAGTGGTACAGGTTTATTAAGGGCTGTTGTTGTGGATTTATTAAGGGCTGTTGTTGTGGATTTATTAAGGGCTGTTGTGGTTTTATTAAGGGCTGTTGTGGTTTTATTAAGGGCTGTTGTGGTTTTATTAAGGGCTGTTGTGGTTTAACTAAGGGCTGTTGTTGTGGTTTTACTAAGGGCTGTTGTTGTGGGTTTTATTAAGGGCTGTTGTTGTATTTTTACTAAGGGCTGTTGTTGTATTTTTACTAAGGGCTGTTGTTGTGGTTCTACAAAATATTAAGACGGTCACGTGACTTTCCATATTTACCAAGTATTTTCCACGCGTTAATCGCGGTAAAGATTGCGACATTGAGTGCCTTGACTTGATTAAAGGCTGTGATAAAGCACTCCACTTGAGCCTCGCTGGAAAGTTAGAGCCTTGTGTTAAGTGTGTGTGTGTGGGGGGGGGGGGAGGAGCTTTATTGTAAAGCTCCGCTTACATTATGAAGGTCGTTACTGGCCACCGGATCAGACGATGGACATAATTCAGCTGAACAGACAGACAGACAAGGACGAGGAAGGTAATCCCGGGGATTACAAATCTTCCTCTTGAAGTGGGATTACTAAAGAAGCAGCTTAATTTGCGTTCTCTAGAGAGGCGAAGGATTACCGTGTGATGATTTCGGGGCTTAGCGTCCCCGCGGCCCGGTCGTCGACCAGGCCTCCTGGTTGCTGGACTAGTCAACCAGGCTGTTGAACGCTGCTGCTCGCAGCCTGACGTATGAATCACAGCCTGGTTGATCAGGTATCCATTTGGAGGTGCTTATCCAGTTCTCTCTTGAACACTGTGAGGGGGTCGGCCAGTTATGCCCCTTATGTGTAGTGGAAGCGTGTTGAACAGTCTCGGGCCTCTGATGTTGATAAGAGTTCTCTCTCGGAGTACCTGTTGCACCTCTGCTCTTCAACGGGGGTATTCTGCACATCCTGCCATGCCTTCTGGTCTCATGTGACACTCGTGAACAGGCAGATGAATGTGTATAACAAGGGGGGGAGAGTAATAAGATTTTCCCCCCATGCTTAGAGTCCGGGGTTCGAGTCTCCTAGCGCCCAGGTGAAGGAACTTAGGGAAACTTAATAAGGAACTTAGCGAAGGGAACTTAATAAGGTTTTTCAATATATTAACACAACGCAGAACACGAAATGATGTATATATGAATTGGATAAGACTGTTATTATCACAGATGTTGTTGACTGCTCCCACAGGTGTTGTAACTTACCACAAGTGTTGTAAGGTGTTACCGCAGGTGTTGAAGGCTCACGCAACAATATAAACAAACACCTGCCGCTCATTGATGCGGTTAACGCACTTTCACTCGAGTCGCCAGAGTGTAAACCAGGGACGAGGAGGGAGGGAGGGAGGGAGGGAGGGACGGATGGGAGGGAGGGATGAGAGGGAGGACTCACTGTCCTCCAGTGCTGATCAACAACAGTGGAACAATCCTCTTCCAGACAGTTGGTGGTTCAAGACCCACTCCCACAGTTGGTGGTTCAAGATCCACTCCCACAGCTGGTGGTTCAAGATCCACTCCCACAGCTGGTGGTTCAAGATCCACTCCCACAGCTGGTGGTTCAAGATCCACTCCCACAGCTGGTGGTTCAAGATCCACTCCCACAGCTGGTGGTTCAAGATCCACTCCCACAGTTGGTGGTTCAAGATCCACTCCCACAGTTGGTGGTTCAAGATCCACTCCCACAGTTGGTGGTTCAAGATCCACTCCCACAGTTGGTGGTTCAAGATCCACTCCCACAGCTGGTGGTTCAAGATCCACTCCCACAGCTGGTGGTTCAAGATCCACTCCCACAGTTGGTGGTTCAAGATCCACTCCCACAGTTGGTGGTTCAAGATCCACTCCCACAGTTGGTGGTTCAAGATCCACTCCCACAGTTGGTGGTTCAAGATCCACTCCCACAGTTGGTGGTTCAAGATCCACTCCCACAGTTGGTGGTTCAAGACCCACTCCAACAGCTGGTGGCACAAGATCCACTCCCACAGCTGGTGGCTCAAGATCCACTCCCACAGTTGGTGGTTTAAGATCCGCTCCCACAGCTCGTGGCATAATAAAACCCACTCCCACAATAATAATTTCACAATGAAAACAGTAAAGCTTGTACACATGTATCATACAGAATAGATCTATGTATAGAGTAGAGCATGACGGTATACATATAGTGATACACGAGGTACCTCGCACACTCACCTGTCACTATCTCTAGCAGTGAGATCAAGCCAAGCTCAGCCTCCAGGCGCTGGAGCTCAGCCTCCAGACACTCATTAATATCAACAAGGTGGACATATCCCGTCTGCTGTCGCCATTATTCTGTGTCTGCCGTGTTTACCAGCTATGCCCCCTTCACTGACCACCTTTACCATAAAGCAGACAACCAGAGTCTGCCAATAATCACACACAAGCTGGCATATAACGCTGCCCGAAGCAATATATATAAAAGAGGCCTATATAAAGTGACTTACGTGGGCTGCGGCTCTTTCCAGAGGGCAGGAGATGGGAGGCGGAGTAGAGGAGTCCTTTAATCAGTGTAGAGTCCATCTTGATATATGTCTCTCAACGGCTCTGTTGTCAAGACTTGATTCACTCTCCTGTGCGTGGTAGCGCGTGGCCTGCTTCAGCGGCGGAGGCTCACTCAATCCATCGCTCGCAGAGAGAGTTCGAGCAGGAGACTGTGCAAGGGGTGCCCAGACAGACAACGTCCTCCTTCACCTGCGGTGCCTGCAAACTGACATTATTTTTCGTATACTCAGGTTCCCAAGGCTCCTACTCTCCCCCCATAAACATCCCCACGCCCCTTCGACCCTCCCTCCAACCCATTCATGCATCACCCACGCCCTCCACCCCTCCACCCACGCCCCCGCCGCCCACGCACACTCCTAAAACGCCTGAACGCAAGTCACTGCATGACTGCTGTCTCTCAGTGTCAAGGCGTTTTCAGAGTGCCACATTAAGTGTTAGTGTGAAGTGTGTCGGCACTGTCATACTGTTGCTTATAGACCGGTGCTCCACACCCTATGTATGGAGTGTGTGCGCGCTCCACACTCTCCATATTCATTAAGGAACTCCATATATATAATCTTAGAAGTAGCGTCACATTACATTAATAACACCAGCAATAATCATTCTGTTATGTTTGGATTATCAAATGCATAAACAACTTTTTTTTCCAACAGCCGTAAAAAATAAAATACTCGGCAACTGAGCTTAAAATATTTATTTATTTATTTATTTAGAGAAAAGTTAACAAATATTAACTAAAGAAATTATTATACAGTGTAATGACGTATTGTTAACGTGTATTAAGAATGAAAAATATGCAGTCAAAAGAAAAGGGATGTCAAATCCATACAGCCAAACTCCCACTACAGTTCTGTCAAATACCCACTACAATCCAAATAGCCAAACACCCACTGTTCTTCTTCCCGTAATGAAAACATCACATCGGACATCTAAGACAAAAGGACTCCACGACTCCAAGACAAGTGCCAGTAGCATGTTGACTGGTAACCAGGAGCTGAGACTTGATCTGAAGGAAGGTGTTCCTCGTGTGATAACTGGATAACTAACAAAGTCTTTAAGTCTCTGTCAGGAGTCTCCTCCTTGGGTATTGTATCAGCAATTTGACTGACGGGTGAACATTGATTTGTCAGTTAAGTATTTTCTTATATCCAGTGAAATATTTTACTTGGATAAGCAGTTGTAAAATGAATATTATATTTTTTTGGTATTAATATTTTTTTCCGAAGGCCCTAAGCCTCAGGCTGACTCACTAAATATTACTGATATCAGTCTTACTCAGGTGTTGAATGAGCTTTTATTATTCTTCTGATGGCTTCAGTAATATATATATATATATATATATATATATATATATATATATATATATATATATATATATATATATATATATATATATATATATATAAAATATATGTATGTATATATGTATGTTACGATTCAGAGGGGAAATGCTTGTTGCGTCTTGGGCACAAGTCCAACTTCGGAGTTTGAAGAAGTGTTTGACTTGCAACAATGATCGGATCTGTCCGTGACTTTAATCAATGTTTCCCATTGGCGTGCTTTTCATTTTACTTGTATTGGTTGTGTTGCGTATGTGTTAAAGACACATGTGTAATCATGTAATCTTGTACAATAAATTTCCCTATGTATATAAATATGTATAGTGGTGGTAGGAGAAGACAATATGTGCCAGTGCATGAGAGAGCCCAACAAGGCTCTCCCGGGTGCTGCATATCGTCTTCTTCGAGGCTTATGGGTCCCTACAATCAACCAGAGGTGGTACCATCTATATATTTTTTAAAATAACAAATATATATATATATTATAACAACATCTTGGAGAATCCTACAACCCTCATCTGTTACAACTCTTCTCAATAATTGTGTGTCAGTTACAAACATCGACAAACATCGAAGAGAGAGAGAGAGAGAGAGAGAGAGAGAGAGAGAGAGAGAGAGAGAGAGAGAGAGAGAGAGAGAGAGAGAGAGAGAGAGAGAGAGAGAGAGAGAGAGAGAGAGAGAGAGAGAGAGAGAGAGAGAGAGAGAGAGAGAGAGAGAGAGTACTGTCAGTAAATGAGATAAACAGTTAAAAGAGTCTTACGGACAACTCTTGAGGTCATCTTGTTATCGCTTGGCTCTTCCTTGTGTCAACACCCTCTGGCGGGTTGAGGTCTGCCCAGAGCACCCACCTTGAACAAATCCACAAGGGCCGTGACGAGGATTCGAACCTGCGTCCGGGAGCATCCCAGACACTGCCTTAATCGACACCCTCCTTCCTGGTCTTCCCGCCTCCCCCCCTCCCCTCTCCCTCCCCCCCCCACCAGCTCACCCTGGCGCGGTGCTTTAATATATAAAGATTATTACTACTAAAACTGTTGTCAACAATGACTCTGGGACTGTCCTCAGGCGAGGCTCCTACAGATGGCGGTCAATCCAAAAACCGTATTTATCAATTTTAACGTAATATTCATAGTCGTAATTTGTTAACAAAAACCTAAATTATTACTGTCTATTAGAAAGTGAGATGTTAAGTGAGGTGTTTGGGTATTGTCAGGAGTTACTTGTAGTTCAACCTGTCCTCAGGCCAGGCTCGTTAAGGCAGATTTTCTGATTTTCCTCAACTGGAGATGGACGGTAGAGCAACGGTCTCGCTTCATGCAGTTCGGCGTTCAATCCCCGACCGTCCAAGTGGTTGGGCACCATTCCTTCCCCCCCCCCTGTCCCATCCTAAATCCTTATCCTGGCCCCTTCCAAGTGCTATATAGTCGCAAAGGCTTGGCGCTTTCCCCTGGTAGTTCCCTTCCCTTACATTAAACATACAATCCAGACCTGTTACTTCTGGGGAACCTTCTTCTGAATGACTAACTACAGAATCCATCGTATGTGGACATTGAATGTGTGCACATTCCCCTCTGTTGCCCTTTCCTCTGCCTCCCGGACTCCTGCAGGGGCTACCCCTACATTATTAGAATGGGCATCACTATAGTTGCCTCACGCTAATGGGACTTCGAAATTCCCCGTGAACTTTGGCATGAGTTGATTTGCATGTCTTTTTCCAATTAATATTCCCAAAACTCTGCACTTGCACGGTCAAATTCCTACGGCCTAAAACGCCAATAATTTACCCTTCCATATAAGGCTTATCCATTCTAAAGTTCCCCTGAATCATCTGGGGATTCTTCCTGAACCAACTGGTTGACCGGGTTAGTTTCTGATTTATCTTAATCTAGATCTTTTTCACTGTTTCTATGTTTACTTTGAAATGCCTATTAAACGGTAATTCAAAAGAAGATTTACCACTGGTAGAACGAACAGTTCTTCTTTAGTTATTAAAAAATCTACAGAGACTTGTGTTGATATCGGCTTCAACTTTTTAAGGATAGTGAGATTCTTTAAAAATAAGGGCTACAGTGGCTTCTGTAAACCGCTGTAACCCTTCTGTTAAGTATCGCACTGCTCTCTCAGCCAGACCATTTGAGGAAAGGTTACAGGAAGGGAGAGGGGTGGGGGGGACAGGATTAATTAACATATTTATACTATTTTCCTAAAAAAATCCTCCATTTCCCCAAACACAAGATAAGGAGCATTAGCTGACGCCACCACCATGTCTGGTAATCCAAACCTACAAATTGTTACTCCTGAGAAATTCACAAGTTATAGATGATGTCGTGGAATGACACACATGAACATTCATCAATTTTGTGTATGAATCCACAGTCACCAGGTAATATTTGTTATCCACAGGTCCAGCATGAAGTATATGAAGTCTAGACCAAGGTTTCCCGGTGCATGGCCAGGAAAGTACTGGGGCCTGGTGTTTCTTCCAGTTATTAAAGCATAAGAACAAAGGCAACTGCAGAAGGCCTATTGGCCCATACGAGGCAGCTCCTATTTATAACCACCCAATCCCACTCATATACATGTCCAACCCACGCTTGAAACCTTTCATAAAACAAATATGATAATTCTTTAGTTACTTCAGTAATATCCTGGTCCAATTTTGGCCACTAAACCCAACTTCTAGCTTCTGCTTTCAGAGCATTTATGCCTTTATGGCCTACATGCAGCTGTTGCAAAACCTTACATCTCAGTTCCACAGGAACCACCACTCCACTCCTATATAAGATAACATCCTGGTGTAATCCAAGGTCAGCCTGTACTGTTGCATACTCTGACAATAATATATCACCATTCCATCCATACTTGACATAAACCAATAACTTACTTAATTTGGCTTCTCAACTAATAACTTCCTAATGGTCTGGAATGAAATATCCTCCCATGACAAATATTTCACCAGGTCAACATAATCTACTGTAATCCTGGAATTCAACTCTTCTGTAACAGGGAGTCTGTTTAATGCATCTGCCACTATATTATCCTTGCCTTATTTAAACTTCACATCATGCTGCAACTGTGACACTAGCAATGCCCAACGTTGAGTTCTAGCACTAACTGGAATTTTATTACCTATGCCAAACAATCCTAGCAGGGATTCACGGTCCATTCTAGCAAGAAATTTTCTACCCAGCAGAAAATATATTTTTTTACTGCTTATACCAAGTCTAAGTCTTCTTAGCATAATTGGGAATAATTCTGTTCTTCAGGAGATCATTTCTTGCTAGAAAAATTGACTGTTCCCCCCCCCCCTTTCCCCTTAACTATCTTTTTAGGTTACGTGTATCTAGTATTTACGGTACTTAGAAACCAAACGAGCATCTGCTTGTAACATTATGAACCTAACGTAGGTAGGACTTAATCCTACAAAACACCTTCAATCCTAACAGTTAGGGTAGGTATTTAGCTTATGTTGGTGAATTATTTGTATTTTCAACTCGTCCTCAGACCAAGTCCATTCTCTCCAGTGGTCGACCCCAAAGACGCATTCATCAATTTTAGCATGCTGTTAATTCATAACAGGAATTTTCTCATATATACATTAATATTCTTATATATCAACATACTGTGCATATTTAGGCATAGATTAGGTTAGGTGTTTAGGTTCTGTTGGCGATTATTTGTATTTGTAGTACGTGAGTGAAGCATTTACAGCGTTGTGGTTCGAACAAAAGTCATGACCGAACAACGATTTGTTCGAGAAGTGTTCGGACGTAATCAATTGTGAGTTGAGTGTAAACCGTTTATCCTTTCATAGACAGGGGGTTTTGGCGGCTGGATTAATGAGCCTTTGGCCAATGTTGATGAG